AAAAAGAGAATCTGGCACATCCTTCCTCTTAAAAGATTACAGCTGCTGTGTTTCAATTTAAACAAAGAAAAGTGATCAGCACTAAAGCCATTTCCCCATCAAATACAGAACAGGCAAGCATACACTCATCAGATTAGTGCGACTGAAGGGACCAACTTCTTACAAAATACATGAAATACAACAAAAGATTGAGTTTTGTGCCATTTAATCAAATGAATTTTAAACTGCTATGAAAGAAGTAGAGCTCATTTAATGTGTACAAATAATTTTTTTCACTGTAACAAGGAAGACAATCCATAGGGAAGGTATAAAAAAAATGCATCTTTTGAATTCAAGTCTTTCCCACAGCTGTATGCCAACTACAATTGGATACAATCTCCATTTTGAGATTGTTAATAAATACGCTCAAGTCTTTGATCGTAACCTTTTTAAATTCTGTAAGTTATTTCCTATGGATTGTCTTATTGCTGAACGCTTGCATTTTCTCCCCTCTGAATTCTACTGCAGGAGTCAAGATAATTATTATTTTGTTGAGGTTTTTCTGTGCTTATACAAATTTCAGTGGTGTTAGCAAGAATATTCCCAGTCATGCAAACACACTTAAGCAATGAACACAGTTCGGGTTTTTTGTGGCTGCTCTATTAAAAAAAAAAAGAAAGAATAATGCAAATGGGCAGTTTTTAAAGGAGACTCCGAAGCACTAAATTATACACGCACTAAAGGAAGCCTTTGTCCAAGCAGTCATACAATTCTTTCCGCCTAACCTCTTAAGCTTTTTCTTATTACAGACTCCCAAAATACGACTAGACCTTCTCCAAAGTCATACTGAGTTCAGAGTGGCTTCACGCAGAATAGATCCACTAGAGTTCTTTCATCTACTCCTCTAACTCCTCTTAAGTAACAGCTGTGTCACCCATCCATGGGGGCTTGTGAAACATCTTACACATTCTGCATAAAACGGCCACTGTAATGCAAAACACATACAACAGTGTGGGGGGGGGACGGGAAACGAATAGCCAAAGCAGTTCTACAAACTATTCTGCTAAAAAAATAACTTTGTGCTTTTAGTATTCTTCCCTTAAAAGGGTTGCTCCTCTTGCTCACAATCCTACATATTTTTCTTTAGAATAACAGCTGTCAGGATCCCAATATCAAGTTTCAACACTGCTACTGTTCTGTAGATAAGCGCTAATAAAAGTGATTATATAGCACAAAAGTCGACCAAGGCCATAAGAACAAATTATGTCATAAAACTAATAGAGATTTACAAACAAAAACAAAAAGATCTACTAAAACACTCTTATGCTTTGCCACAGCTTTACATTAATGCCTGCCACTTTTCTTTACGAATTTCAAGATTTGTCAGCTGTCAACCTACTTTTATTAAGGGATACTGAATTCCAAATACTGAATGAAGTGTCAAGGCTCACGCCAATCTATCCTTCTTCTCTCAGCCCACTAGGTATGTTACCACCGACTAGCTGCTCGCTGGAAACAGCATATACGCAGGCACTACCAGAGCAACACAAGCCAACTTCCTCCTGTTTTATACACAAGTGTGGTGCTAAGAAACACAGATTTGTGTCCCAGAGGTGTGAGATGAAAGGATAAAAAAAAGGAGGGAATTTGTTTGAGGAAGACGCATGCAGCAGAGGATGAGCAGGAACTCATGGGACAGTCTTGAGATTAAGGCGACTCTGGAAGGAAAGCTAACTTTTAGCAATAATAAGTAATTTAAGGCCCTTTCTCAAAACATTACTTGACATCCTGCTTCAAATACCCAAAATACCCAGTACTGGAAAGCAGCAACAGTTCTCTCCAAGACAGCTAAGCAGCAGCAAAAATAGAAGAGATTTCCTGTTCCTTACGCTGTTCAGTGCGCGCTGTCTCTCAGAAAGGGGTGCAGACACCTAACTGTGAATTCTGGTAATGTCTCATCCCTGTCCATCCATTAACTAGCAATGGCAGTGAGGCAACGTAGTCTGAAGCATCCAAGCTGAATTTTCCACAATAGACAAATATGAGAGCAGGGAGCAGAAAAAAGGAGGTTACAGAAAAATTTACACCACAAGATGAGCACTTCATAAAAGCTGCTTTCTACAAAACTATTTAGGACAAAGAAATAATTGCCAAACATAGACAACTGCCTTAGTGCATGAATGGATTCTACTGTTGACAGTGACAAAAGTGCAAACAGTGAAGATTTACTTAAATTAACTCCCTTGGATTCCAAAACAATTGAATCTTCCTCCAAAAATCATTCATTTCCTTAGGCTTTCTACATACTAGAATATGAATATAGCAACATGGTAGTGATAAGACACCTTGTAGAATTCTACTAGCTTGAGAGAGACATGTAGCACATTTGCGGCTTTCTCCCTCACACATGAAACAAGCCTCTCTGCAGACAGCCATTGTTTGCACAAAATTCTAAGTTCATCAGGTAGAAAATAAATGCAGCGTAGAAGTTACCTTCCTACCTTCCAACACACCAGAAGGATACATAAAACAATGAAATATTTAAAATATAGCACACTGTATTACACACAGAATTTGTTTTTCATTTCAAGTTTATTAAAACTTTAGCAGTACAAATGATCCAGGTTTTAGATTATCAAAAGACCAAACTGAAGTCCACATCTTAAAAAAAGCGTTCCCCAAAATGTCTCTAAAACTTTGAGACAATGGAAACATTAAGTCCACAAACTCATCCATGTCTGTCGTCATCTGTTCCAGGACTTGTTTCATGATCAGACTTTTTATCCTTACTATGGACTTGATCTCTTTCCTGACTCTTTGATTTTTGGTTTATTTCTTTTTCTGCTGAGGACCTGGACTTCTCCTTTTCTTTGCTCCTGCGGGAATATGATTTTTTTGATTCTCTCTCTTTGCTACTTGGTCTCTTTTTTGAGTCTGGACTTCTATCCTGATCTCTGCTAGACTTCTTATCTTTACTGGATTCAGGACTGCTACTTTCACGGCTCTTTGAACGCCTCTTCCTTTGGCTTTCAGTATCGTTCCTCTTATACGAGCTTCTGCTTTCTCTGTTTGAATACCTCTCCCTGTTTCTGCTTTGACTTTCCTCTCTCTCTGAACTCCTTGATTCTCTCCTCCTCCTGCTTTCTCTTCCTCTGTATCTGTCCGGTGTACCTCTCCTTTCTCTGCTTCTTGATCTTCCTTTTCTTCTTTCTCTGTCTCTATCTCTGTTCCTTGAATGTTCTTTACTTCTACTGCGATCTCTATCTCTACTTCTAGATCTTCCTCTCCTACCCCTGTCCCTGCTTTTGCTTCGTTCCCTTGTTCTACTGCTGGAACTATGCTTTCCTCGAACATGCTCACGCTCTTTGCTTCTTGACTTATGTTTCTCCCTGTCTCTGCTCTTACTACGATCTTTTTCATTACTTCTTGAACCTGCTCTTCTACTTCTTTCCTTGCTCCTACTTCTTTCTTTATCTCTCCCTCTAGAATCATAACGCCTTTCTTTTTCTCTGCCTTTCTCGTGGTTCCTCTCTTTGCTTCTTGATCTTGCTCTCTTTTCATCATGTCTACTGTGCCTAGAGTCTCTTTCTTTACTTTTTGATTTCTCTCGGCTTTTGCTACGGCTTCTGGATTTAGCTCTTTTCTTGGCCTTGCTTTTGTTATGCTTGTCGTCTTTTTCTGAATTCCTTCTTGTCTCCCTGTCTTTACTGCTTGATTTGTGATCTTTTTTCTTCTCCTTTTCCCCTCTTCTGCTTGGGCTTTCAGAAACTTGTCTGTGGTCTGATACTTTTCTCTCCTTTCCTCTTCCTGGGCTTTTTTGATTATCTTTCTTGTTTTCATTTATTTCACTCCTTGGAGAGAGAAAAGTATAGTTTTTAAATATTTTGAATCCTTCCACTCTGCAAAAGGAAGTCAGAAGTGAAAGAGCTTCACAACTGAAACTTCAGTCACATTAAGATCTCTAACATTAATAACTTTAAATCTATGGTAACCACAAATGAGCATAATTAAAAACTGAAACAGTTATAAGGCAACGGGGTACTCAAGTCAGTCACATTTTCTTGAGAACTACTACAATAGAATATCTGAGACAATGGGTGTTACTTTAACATCCAAAAATTTCAATGCATATATTCTGAAAAGAAACAATCTTACTTGTCCCCTTTTATCCATCTTTCTCCACTGGATACTCTCATTCTTTGAGCTCTCTGCATTTCTTGCCTCCAATGTGGAGGAGTTTCACTGCGTCTGAATCGATCTCTTGACCTGGATCTGGAAGGTGTCCGGTAACGCTTGAAAGGAAAAGAAAAGATTGGCCGTAACTTTGAATTTCACATGCTATGAAAGCTAAGCAAGATTTTTATCCCTGGTGGTTGATTCTGCACTGCACCTACCATGACACTTGAGACTTATACACCAAGTTTACATCGACAATTTATTAATTTACTGAGTTAAACTATATTTGACATTTAGTTAAAGAAGGGATACCAAATGTCTGATCAAGTAACTGATTTTTAAAGTGACTTTATTTCAGAATTGCTGTACTCAGAGCTAGTAAGTCTTCTCCTGTCATTTGTAATTGGGGCAAATGCAACTCACTTTTCTGGCAATGAAAATTCTTAGTTTTGACAAGCAACACCAAAACAATACTTCACATTTTTCTTTAAAGGTTATTATTAAAAATTCAAAGGCTAGAGATGATGCTTCTGCTACTAAAACCACTTGATACAAAAAACGCATAGCACGTAACTTCACAAGATCAGAAGAACAAATCTAACAGCTCATCCCTGTCAACCCCCCCCCCCTTTTTTTTTTTTGCCCGAGAACGCATCACCAGAAGAAGCTAGACCAGGGCAGCAGTGAAGCGCAAGACGGGCTCAGCTGCTTGCAGGGCTGCAAGGCAGTTATTAGGCAGGGGAAGGAGGAAAGCTGTTTCCCATCTGATACAATGTAACAGACAGTTAAATACAAGACATATACCTAATTCAACAAAGAGATCTTTGAATGCTGAAGGAAGTGGAAAAAAAAGTCTATATTAATTACAGGATTAGGTCAGGTGATCTCTGAATAAGGACGAAATACAAGTAATTTTAAAGTATGTTAAATCTGTCTGGACCTTCTAGACTTCAGAAGAGAATTTGGCAACAGAAGCAAAAGGCTTTTATCCGTTAGAGAGAACCTTTATCATAAAGTATGAAGGGTAGATTTACTGAAAAATGGGAATCTCTAACAGCCACTGACAACAAAGACTTCAGCAAGTAAGCTGGAAAAAAAAAGGAATAGGAACATTTTCAAGTTAATCTTAGTGCAAATTAGAGGAAGCATATAATTTTTCTTTCATTTCTTCACCACCTATGTCTTTCACAAAGATTTGTCATTGCACGTTTGCTTTGTACATTTTCATTTGCATTTTATGTCAACTGGGTAAACTTCAGTTAGAAGTAATTTCAAGATAACTAGAAAGCAAGGTATTCCTCATCTAGGGGTGTGCTTAATTTACCCAGTAAGGACACCAGGAACAGGTCAGCAAGTGCCCTAGGTCACCTCCTCCTCAACACGTTCTCCAGAAGTAAAGGAGCGTGCTCCCACTTCAGTTGCACAGGTAAGTGAAAGGCTGCCACCAGGAACGGGTGGTAGCTGGACCGTGTTCTCACAATAAACAAGAATCATTCTTGTAGCTGCACGATAAATTCCTGGAAGCTGTTACACTAACGCAGAATATAGGAAAGTTAGACAATAACAATGTAATTAGTAAGTTTACTTTTGAAGGACTTCATAATAGGTTTCTAGTCAGAGCTGAGGCAATTTTAAGTATGCAGGAACAAAGCCTGGTGGGAGGCGAAGTGTTTTGTCTCCTGTGAGGGAGAAAACTGCAGCACTACGTTGCAGCCCAAGGTACGCAGGGATTGCTGTGCCCCTAACCCTCAGCTTGGACAATTCAGCCACAACCAAAAAATAACTGTATTGCAAATATGAACTACACAATATAGCAGTAACAAGTTTATCATTATATGAACACAACAGCCACACACAATTCTACGAAGGTTGTCTCTTGTTCTTTTCAACAGGAAGCAAGACAGCCTGGACTAAAATTCAGAACTTTAAACCACACAAGGACGAAAACGCTTCTTAGCTACCTTCATACTCAACATTGCAGCACATATCCCAAAGCTTCAGAACCAACAAAATACGAAGACTATACTTAGTAACTCATTTCATCTTAAGTATTATTCTGAACAAATTGGTGATGGGTACGTATTTCTACTTAAGTAACAAATAAAAATAACATAAATTGGCCGATCTGCATTTACACTGATTCTAGGCAACATAATGCTCTCACAAAGTTTTGGTGGTCTGTTTTTACAGTCATTTTAGTGCTCTGAAATATCTGTAAAATGGCTTTACTCAATCTCCCTAACCCGAATTGAGGATTCTTGAGAACTGATGTTCCAAGCCTCCCTGCTCTTGGCCGCAGATTCACAAACAGAGCAAGTTTCCATCGTGATTTAAACTGTTAAGGAAATTAATCACCACCTCTACTTTCTCATGATTAATTTAATAACTGCCCTTTAATTCTGTTCTTTCGAATGATGCTGTAAGCGATTCCTACTCCGAGTTTCTGACTGCTGACATCTGTTATGTCAAAATTTATACAGCCTAAAATACCAAACAGCTGTTTTAAGAATTCTTTTTGCTTAGGCTATTTGTAATTTTTAAAACTGCGGCTCTCAAAAGCGACTCCTTTTTGTTTTTCTCTTCTAATAGACCGGAACTCTTCTACAAACTGGTTCTCCTGAAGAATAATTTTTTTTTTTTCCTGAATACTCATACACACACACAAACCACCATTTGCTGCTTCCAGTATGGAATTTTGTATTTGTATATACAGACTGACTCATTCAAAGAAAAGTACAAGGGCATGCAGACATAAGGTTCCAAGAAGGGAATTCTTTACAACTACTGTCCTAAAAATAAGACTAGAATTATTTATCTAATCGATATTGAAGAAGTTTTCTCACATCCTTATACTCTTTCTGATGTCTAAGCGTTACTTTTCCATGATTTTTCCAGTAACATTTACAATTTAATAAAATATTCCGTTCTGTTCTCGTGCTTTTGAATCTTCAAATAAACTCAGTATGCAAAACTTACATGACTTTCTTTTAAAAGCTTGAACATAATTGGATATTATGCTTTGGTCACAGTAACTCTGGAAAACAGGAGAAAAAAATTTTCCCTGTTGTCTTCCTTGGAGCTTCAGCCCTCAAATCAATTATGATGCATAATAAATCCTGCTCTCTTTTGGCTTTTTTTTTTTTTTGAATTGACCATCTTAATGAAAACGTAGTAAAAGTGTGCCACCATGTGGGTTTGATTGTTTTGCTTGGGGAAGAGACTGTGAACATTTACCCTTGGTCCTCTTCCTTTTATTTTCCTTCCAGATCTGGTCACTAACAGTCTTCTCTGGTACGTTGACTGGGAATTTGATAGATTACTGAAAAACAAAAGAATAAAGTGATATTGCTTATAATATTATCTTAAAAACTGCAAGGAAGGAAAAAGAAGATAAAAACTCATTTAATTTTAAATATTCTTCATAAGTTAAATAAAAATGAATGAAAATAGAGATTTGCTTTCGTTATTACAAGTGCAGACGGCAACAATTACACTTTTTGCTTTTGTATGTGGCCTTGATAGAACTGTGAAAAGTTTCTTTGAGAAAAAAAAAATAGCTTCGTCTTTCTTCAAATTTTTTGGTAGCAACTTTACATTTTGGAACCTGATAACCACACGTGCCAGGACAAAATAACACATCATAAACTTACATGGACTACAATTCAGTTCTTCAAGAAAGCGGTTAACTTCTATGCTTTAAAAAAAAATGACTGAAGAACTTCTACAGAGGTATGGGAGAAATTATCTTCCAATGGATTCATGGCCTGTGTGAGGTTTCATTCACAGGCATGAAAAGTGAATACCCCCTCACAGCTGGGAGAAGCACTGTAGTGCACAGGCAGTGACAATACAAAGCCACCCCGACCGACTATCAGTTCACTTCAACTCGTCTCATATGAGAGCAGCTCAGGTTTACCTGCACGGTCAGATTAAGATACTGTTACTATAAGATAGTAGAAAGCCAAGAGCTGAAGTGCAATAGTAATTTAACCACATTTCAACTCTTCTAGTACAGGCAGAATCAGCTACAGTAATGAACAATCATGAAATCCTACATGGAACAATTGTAACATTTCTTTGTAACATTTCTGCCATCTGAGTTCTTTTTTTTTTTTTTTTTTTAAACCAACAGCTAGAATAGATTAACTAGAGGTATACAGGACAGCAGAAAGTGAATGTTCATGGCACCCATGACATTTCATATGGGCACATCAGTAATTACTAGACAAGGCTAGCTTTCCACTTAAAACTTTCACCTACGGTAATGAACTGACATAGGACTATCGATATCCTTTTAAGTAGCTTCCAGAAGCAACCATCTCTCCAGTAACTGCCAATGAAAACTGCATCTATAAATTAGCTCCCCAATTTTCTTCTTACCATTCTTTCCCTTTAAAGTTTAATTCAAATGAAATCTTCGTAATATGCACACTAGGCAAACTTGTTCTTACCTACATTTAGGTTAAATCTGTTAGACATGCACATGTGATGAAATCTGATAAATCTCAATTAGAATTTTCCCCTTCCTCCAACATTTCTAATGACAACTTCATATTTTGTGAAAAGAAAATATTTCATAAGATTTTCAGATTTTTTCATTTTGAAAAAAGTTGCAGATTCAGATAGGACAGCTCTAATAAATTCTAAATTAAATATCAATGTATTTTATTCACATTTCTTTTCCGAATCAGTTATTTTTCATTCACTAAAACAACTTCCAAACATTAAGCCTTTGTTCTAGAACAAAGAACACAGTTATGATTTAAACTGAAAAATCCAGTTTTCTTCCAGCAGTGCTCACAGATTATCATGTTATGAAATAAGAAAGTCAAATCTAAAATATGTACTTTAATTAAAAAAAAAAAAAAAAAAGCCATGTGACCATACCAACACCAGCATGTAGTTAGATTCAAATATGTATACGTTACCTTTCTCTTTCCTTCTCTCTGCTTTTCCTTTCTTTTTCTTTCTCATCTACTTTAGGAGGACTCTTCCGCATCAGGAACCGGTTTTCAGGTACAGGAGGAATTTCTTCAGGACGGACAGTAGATAATGGCTGTGCTTCAGGGTTTTCATCTTCACTTTCACTGGATGAGCTTTATTTTTGTACAAAAGAAATATTCACATTTAAAATCAGTTATCTGGGTGAAGAAAGATTTTTCAATCAGAAATTACGTTGACTCAATATACAACGGTCAAAAAAAGAAATTATACTGAAAGTGTACATATTCAGAAGGATGAAATCTACAGGTAATACTAGTATTTTTCTTTTGTAACAATAATAAAGAAACAAGAAAACTAGAGAAGAGACAGAACTGTTTCAGATGCTACTTTTTTCCCTATGTTATCCTTGCCCCAAAAATCACGTAAGTGCAGTACATTTCTGACCAATATTTTCAATCTATGAATTCCAAACATGCATTTACTCTAAATTCAGATACAGCTTAAAAAAGGTATCAGGAAAGTCAAGCTCAGGTTGAACATTTGCATATATAACTGTCTACAAACTATTATAATTCCAAATAGCTGGTATAAACAATAATCTTGTGTGAAGGGGGCTTGGTCCCACAGAAATAATGCTTAGGATGTAGATTTGGTCAACAGCATTGCCCTAAATGAGTATTTTTTTTTTTACATCGCAGTGCTGGCTTGGAAATATACGACTTGCACTTCCACAGCTTTGTCTCACACTGAATGTGAAGAAAACTGTTAAGACTGAAAATAACATTTTCAGAAGCAAGAGTGCCTTACAAATTTTATTATCTTCCAGTGAAGCTGCAAGACTTTCGGCATATCAGACAGAACTTTACTCGTCTTAAGTATGTCTTTTTGTACATAATTTATGTTTTACTCCTGCATGCTACATTCTCGGGAGTCCCACTGCACATGATTTGAATTTGGATTGAATACGGAAGTGAATTGCATGAAACAACCAGTCAACAGCCATGCCAAACTAAGTCCTCCTGCAACTTTTCAAGTCCAATACATGAAAGTCTCAGTCCATTTCTTCACAAGTGGCAGCAGCTATGCATACAGTATAAGTATACTGTAATTTACCATCAAACCAAAAGATTTCAAGCTACTACATGGAAACTGGCCGTCTCCCAAACTTTGAAATACCCACTTCACAAGTTAGATACAGGACAAAAAAGTGATACCATTATGGCGCGCAGGCAGCAAAAACAAAGAATGTTTCCCAAGTCCCTTTTAAAATAAAAAGAAAATTCTCAAGATTGACCTTTTCTTGCTTTTCTTTCTCTTTTTCTTTTCTTTCTTATGTTTTTTGGAATTTTTCTTGTGTTTCTTTTTTCTTTTCTTAGATTTCTCTTCAGAAGCACTCTCAGAATCCGATGATGAATCAGAAGAAGATTCTGAATCGCTTGAACTTTCCGAATCACTGGATGAAGACGACGACTTATGTCTTTTCCTTTCTTCTTTCTTAGCTTTAAATCAGAATAACAGACACACATGTTTTGGTAACAAACAGCTCTAATAAATCTCAGAACAAACAACTTATCTATGAACTTATCTGAGCTTATTTATGAAAAAAACTGAAATCTGGGGGAAAACATTTCTCCCAAATAAAATAAAGAATAAATAAAGAGATTTCAAACATATCATATTTACAAATATGATCTTGAGCACCAAATCTGTACTGGCTAGAACTCATACAACTGTGTATGTTTTCAGATGATGCTTTATATAACATAAAGCATATATATAGAATATTTAAAATATATTTAAAATGTATTGTTTATAAAGAAAAATTCTTTAGCTCCAGCTTTAATCTGACACCATATAAAATCTATTCAAACTCCAAAGGAGAAAGTTTTTCTTGAAAGAGAAAAATGCCTGACACAGGCTAACTGGATTACCCGTTTAAGTTAGCACAAGAGGTAAGGGAAGATTCACAGATAACCAAACATCCTGCTTAGTGAAACCATGCTCAGAGAACAGCCCTAATCCTCCAGCTCATCATGTTTTTCTACCAAAAAAAAAAAAAAAAAGATACAAACCACTTACTAACCATCTGGTATTAAAAAGGAACCCCGCCAAAGAGCAGGCTATTCCATAACCAAATATTTTATCATTTCTTGTGTGTCTGTTGGAGCTTCAAATCAGCAATTTACTGGCAATCTGACAGTAGCACAGCAGCAAGTACACTTACCTTTCCTTCCCGTCCCCTTAACTGATCTGAGACCTACTTAAAATACTAACAAATGATGCAAGTACTAGTCCAGAGTCAAACTTATCTGAAAAACAGGATACTATAAAAAATGCACTAGAATTTGATTAAAGGGAGCCTAGCCTTTGAGTTAGGCACTTCAGGTAAATTGGTTGAATAGTGTAAGTATTTCCAAATGCATTAAGATAGTCATACTATTCATACTGTTGTCCAGAAAATTATAATCTCTTTCCAGAAATCCAAAAGGAAGAGGTCAGCAGCATCAGTTGTTTTCAGACTTAGTCTTATGAAAATCACCTTTTTTAATTAACATCAAATATCGTTTTACTTTCTCACTGCAAATTGCAAAGACACTCCATCATTCACTGCACAACATAATACAGTTGCAGAAACAAGAAACTGAACCTTGACCACTAAACAGAAGAAAAATATACAAAAATAAATGGTGTCAAAACAGCTCGTTTTCTTGCCACAGAAAATCCACATTTTAGAAGAATATCTGTTGAGACCTTGGAACATGCTTCAGTTCAGAGACAAAAATGAATTTTAAAACTGCAAATGAATCTTTGCAGAAGAATTCACATATGAAAACAGGCTGAAAATATTAGCCTGTTTTACATAGCTTTCAGTAGCTTGGGCTATCAGAATTCATGCTTTACATAGATTTTGTCTGACCTACATCAACATACCATCAATTTGAGGGTTGGGAGGGAAAAAGCCAACAACAAAAAAACCCCACTCATCTGCACAAAACAGATAAGAATAAGAAGAGAAATATAGGATCATAACTTGCATCAACACAGGGCAACCTATCTGCATCTGAAAACTATTTAGATGCATCAGACATGATGTTTTCACATAGCAGAAAATAAAGAAGTTTTCTCCCCAAATGGCTGAAGTTTTTTCCTTTTGAATTACTGATCAGAGAAATTCAACTGTTTATTCCAGCCAAGCACTTCCTTTGTTGGCCACCATAGACCTGTCTCCAAAAAGATGACGTAATTTGTACTAGCTATTGTGTATCAGAGGTTGTTATAAAATAATTATTAAGCCAAGTAATTACAACAACTTTTTAAAAAAGAAAAGTTATCTTAATGTATTTTTACCATTAGATCATGTTTAATTGTCCTTGTTCGAGAGAAGGAAAGTATGTCTTCTTGGGTGTTACAAGAACTCAAGTGTCAGAAGAAAAAGACTTCAAAAATTTGAAAGAATTACAGGTTATTAACCAGCTTTTTACTTATGAAGAGCCTCAATTTTGTACACATGAAAGTGAAGAAAAATTCCACTTCCAAATTTCCTGCTAGCTGTGTCTGATTATATACGCCATACTTACAGGTATCCAGGAAAAAAAAAAAAAAAAAGTCTTTGAAGTGGCAACAGTACCAAATATCAAGAAGAATCTAAATTAACCACTATTCAACTCTTAGTATGCAGTTATTTGGAAAACGGAGCCTCTTAATTCTATACAAACAGACTATAGAGCTCTGAAGGAAAAAAAAAAAAGTGTGAAATTCATTTAGAGAGCTTGAGGCAGAGGGAACATTTCTATAATGACAAGATCTGGAAAGTGCCATTATGAAAACATAAGCTGCTATTTCATGGAATAGCGTATCAAATTTCTGGAATTATCAAGGTTAGGTTCTCCGAATGCCTAGCAGACATGAGAAAGCTGACAGATTTTGGGCAGAGTCAGCAGTAGATAACTATAACTAATCATCTGAACAGCTCAATATGGAAATTCCCAAATTCAACCCCAACTTGATTTCATTTTTGCAAAACTGCATGGATGGGAGGTAGCAGTTTTCCAAGGACGATCAAAAGCAATAAAACTTGCATAAAACGCATTACTAAGCTGGTCAGAGAGGAAAATAAATCTACATTCTCACTTAGGGATGCATTATTTGTAACAATGGGCTAGTAATTCCTGCTAACTTTTAACTTATCACAAGAAAGAAATTCTCATTTGGACTAGAATGATAAAATTGGTGAGGACAGATCCATAGCTGGCAAATCGCAACATACTGCTGGTTGAGTTTCAGTCAGCTTCTGTATGCTAGATGATAGATGTGTTGTGGGAACTTCAGAGTGTCTCTTGTAAATTGGACGTAACTGGGCGTGCTCTTGGGCAGCATAGTCAAGTATAAAAGTATTTCATACCAGCTGCAGATAGAGACATTTAGGCATTCCTAATGGAGAAGAGAAAGTCAGCACTTCTCAGATAAGCAATAGTTAAGCTCTCATTCATAGCACCATCTCTTAATATTAGCTTACTCTTTTTCTGCATAAGGGTATTGAATATACAGCAGTGAGGCCTCTCAAATAAAGTTGTCAAATTTTACTCCTATCAGTCCATCTTCTCATCTAAATTACTTCTGAGCAGTGTTCAGAATAAGATGCACACCTCACCCAGAGTGTCTTCTAGCTGTGGACTGCAATGTGTTCATGTTGATTTTTCTAGATCCAACAGCAGCCTTCAGCACTGTTGCTTCCAACGTTTTCATGACAATATCCATGTAACAGCTGAAGCTGTACTGTTATCCTCAGCAAAATATTAGGTGGTAGCATTAGACTATCTAACTAAACCAACATCTCTTTTGTGGCAGTCCAATACCCTTCCATTCTGTCAGGTCTCCCATTCAAAACGCACATCAAGCTTCTGGAGCAGTGATATCTCGTGGCAAAAGACAGATTTCTTCTTCACTGATGCAGAGCACTTGCTAAGACTTGGCTAAGATACAAGATTTGGACGACAGCAAGCTGGCTGAGGCTTAATCCAGGCAATCCTCGATTAGATATAAGATGCAGAAAAATCTCTCCCGCAACCAGCAAGTCTGGCATCTTGGCCTCCTTTTTGGTGGCTGTGCTGTTCGTAGTTTTTTCTCCTTCTAATGTTCCTGAATTACCACATTGGTACAGTGGCTGGAATTTAAGCACATTGCACTAAACTGCAGCAACTGTTCAGATTAGCACCACAGACACAAGTTATACCTCCATGACTTCTACACTGACTTTTTTTGGTAATGTCTTCTATGTATTTATTCACAAGCCTCATCTGATGCGCATTAATGAAAGCCTTAAAACAACTGAAGCACGATCTCTGTACTTCACAGATTAGTCTCCTGGTAATTTCTGGTTGCGATATAAACTAGGAAGTTGTCTTAGCCATTTATGACAGCTAATTTGTTTTATACTAGACTACTAATTGAAATCAGCTGAAGTTCTTATCAGATTTTTTTTTTTTTTTTAAAAAAGAGATTCTTGCAAAATATTTTCAGAAAACCGGACTCTTTTACAATACTGTTTGCTTCCCCTGTTGGTCCAGACCAGGATACTTGCTCTGTTTTCTCAAGCTGTTGCTCAACATCCTTATTTAGTAAATAAAATATTAAATTTTTATCAGTTTTACATTGTTTAAATGTATACACATTGTTTGAATGTAACAAGTACGCATTTAGAACAGAACACCAAACAGTTCCCACGGGAATTTCAATCAAAGGAACCCAGTGCCATAAAGGGCTGGTAGTAAACAAAAAGAAGAATCATACCTGAGCTCTAAATACCACCACCACAAAAAGTAGTAAACAAGTGAACTAATATCCAAGTTCCAAGACACTTTCATATGTTTATCTGTTCAACTACTTATCCACTTTTGGTTTTGACCCATTCAAAAATGCATATTATATTGCTTCCCATACGCCTTTAACCAAAGGAAGATGGCCCCAAGTTCAATTTCAGAAATGTCCGAATAAGGCAAACGCAGTTATTTCATTAATTTTTCCCTTCTGCATCTGTTTTAAGCATATCAAAGGCTACCTGCAACACAGTTTTATCCCATCATTTTAACAGCTTTAAAGCTGTTAAATACTTAAGTATATTATAGTCACTATTTCATAATGAAGTAGTAATAAACAGAAGTGAAGGTAAGTTAGTAAGTAACTACCTGAACAGATAGGACGCAATTCGTAACATATGGACAGCAACCTCAGTGGCAGATGTATTTGGGAAGTGAAGTGTGCATGTGCACGCTCATGTACGCACACACGCATGGTGGGGCAGTGGGGAGGTATGACCAAAAAAGTATCTGAATTGTTCACACAGCAAACAGTATTTTGCAAAAGGTTTCAGATATACTCTCTGGCAACCTCTAACTGTCTCTGTCCAGAAACAAATGCTATTTTAAATACAAAACCAATCTGGTTCCAGCCAATTACAGATGACATCAACAAACAAAACCGATCCTGTAGTATGAAGGTCGGTGAGAAGGAGAGAGACTTCTATTTGCAGTCAAACTGTTCCACTTTGTTATCTTCAGTATCGGGTTTCAACCTATGAACATATCTGAAATAAAGGCCCTGCTTCCCACTCCACTCACTGTGACCTATAGTATTTGCCAGACTTCATAAATTACCCGACCACGCTGCATGACACAGCCAAACACTCTCCACATCTCAGCTTGTTATGGAACACAGCAACGCTTACGTTGGTCCTGCGATATCAGACTACTGGACTTGAAGTGAAGAAAGCACCTGGCCAGAAAGCAGTTGGGCCTAGCTGAGGCACAACAGCCAAAGAGATGATCTCATCCTGCAAGTCACAGCAAGGACACTCTCAGTTACCTTGCAGCAAATCCAATTAACTCGTGTTGGACTAACTCGTGTATTCGACAGGATGTTTTCCTAGGAAAGTAGGATGTTTGTCTTTTTTTTCCTCCCTTTGTTTCTTCTTTCCTTCATTTATTTATTTTTATTATTCTTTAAAGTGGGAAAATGAGTTAATGAAAACTGAAGGAAGCTTAAATTATAAAGGAGAAATATCCTTCTCTGTGGCCAAGGGGTGTTATTTTTAGAAAATCTTAAAATTCTAGAGAAATATCAGAAAGCTGTATAAAAAAAAAAAGCTAATGTCAGTATTTAGAAAGATCATTATGGAACAATCAAGCTAATATTCTCAGGACAAACTATGGAGCAACTAACAATATTCATTTTCATAATGACAAATGGGAGTTTATTTGATAGGAATTGACAAAGTTTTGCAGAAGGGGTCTAGTCAGACTAATCACGTTTCATTTTTTGAGATCGTGACTTTGGTTAATCAAAGGTTTACGTGAGATGTTTTTAAGAATGTAAGACGTTGATTAAAAATTTCATACTGATAACAGGGAGAAAAGAAATTTTTTCTGTCTACCAGTTCTTAACAATAGTCTTTAATGAAGATTTCTCGTGAAAAGGATATTTCTAGGGGATTCTGCAGAGAGCATTGCTAGGCTCGATTCATGATTTTCATTGATGTTGCAGATGTCCCTATGGAATCCCTGCTGGTACAAGCATTTGCTTTCAGCAAATTAAACAGATTATAGCTGCCTCCATAATTCGTTAAAGAACAATTTTGTAAATTGGGTCATCCTACCAATATGATTTCTATTTTTAAAATATATATAAATCAGTACAAAGAATGAAGTGTGCTGACACAAGAGTACAAAGTTACATAACTAGAAGGCATAAAATACCCACAGAATAAAGTCAGTCCTAGAAAGCAGTTATTCTGATAAGTCACGTCTTGTCTGCACTTTTAATTTGTCTCCTTCCTTTCCTCTTTTCTTGCTCATTCAGCCCCTAGAGTGTTCATTTTTTCCTGACCATTGTTATACATCGTTATCAGCCCCCCTTTACACCAACTCATTGCTCTGAACAGTCATTTCAGACTTCTCTGTTCCACAAATGCCAAGTTTTAGCAAACCAGCCATTAGGTAGAAACTGTGTGTTTTGGCTTCAGCCAAACTGTACAAAGTAAAGCCAGAAAGAGCTCTTTCCCTCTGCTGTTTGTAGCTGCATGCAAGTCACTTGTCTGCAGAGACAGCTGTTTCCAGAGGCACTTGTGATACAGCCCTCCTCATCCTAACAACTTCGTCCTGTCAACAAGAGTTAATTTTGACAGTGTTCCTAAATTGATATCTATCTATGAGGACCTGATCACTATGTGTAATTTTCACTGTAAGAAGCAGTAGGTCCTTAAACAACGAAAGGCATTGTAAGAACCCATGGCAAATAGCTGAAGCATAACACACAAGAAATAGGAAAAAAAAAGATCCAGCACTTTGAATAGCAAGGTGATTAAGCACTGGAAAAAAACATTAAGGAAAATACTGGTAGTGCCTTGAAGTAAAGGCATACTCTTTTTGGGGAATGGCCTTCCCCATCGCCCTGGCAGCAATCTCCCTCCGCAGCCAGGAAGCAGTCTCCAGGCTCCTAGCAGTACTGAGGCAAAGAGGTACAAGGACACAGACAAAGGGGTAGGACCAGACAGTCAGATCTCTCCAGAAGTCTGTCCTCTTTCAGGAAAAGTTAAAGGAAAATGACATTTGTATCTATTTTTTTTTCACTCTTTTAATGATGACTACTTTAAAGCCCTGCCTAAGGGCTTTAAGCCACCAGACAGTTCAATTCCGACTAAAACCTTAACTTAGTCAATTTCCAGCCTTCTAGAACAGGGAGCAGGGCAAACCAAGAAAGACACATAAACAGAGTGGATGTTTAACCTATTAGTTTCACCCATATCATATGTATATTGTTTTAGTTTATTTTCGTATCTATTTTCTTATCTATCACATCATACATTTTCTAACAGACACACTTCCTAAGTCTTGAACAGTTAAAGTTACATCCTAACATGTAGAATGACTTATGAGTTAATCCAGGAAGTTGTAGAGCTTTTCTGAAGCCATCATTCATAAGATAACTCTGTTCCAAATGTTTAGGGATGGAAAAGATCACTTCAGACTTCAAAGCCATTCTCCTAGACATCACAACAGATGAAGAACGAACCGCATTGAAAAGGAAAGCAAAAACCCAAGAAGTTCAAGTTGGAATGCTTATATTTTCCTTAAGCCAAAGAAACAAAATTATTCTTGCTTTGTGCTTCAGCACCCCTAGAGCAACCCTTAACAGTCCATATCGTGAGAAGGTGCTAAGAATGAAAAAGCACAATGCTCCCTGTCAAGAGTTCCTACCAAACATGCACCCTGGATCTCCTCAACTGAGATATTCTCCAGAGCGACACAGCAGCATCTTAGCGGTGAGCTTTATTTTCTAAGAGCAGCAGGATCCACTCTCCAATACCATGTTCAGCTCTGAAAGAACAGAGTAGGGCATCCTTTCTAAAAACAAAGGCAGTTTCTGTCATATCCCTGTTTATGAACACAGTTTATGGTAACTTAAAAAGGTTATCTGCTAAATGGCAGTTCCAAGCTTTCTACTCTGCCTGTTCTGAAGATTTACCTGAAACAAACTTGAGGTAAGTTCAAAACCTACAACAAAAGCAGCAGTTATCAAAGGAAGTCAGACTGACATCAGTATACTTAACACAGCACTATTTTCTATGGAAAAAGTACTTGTCAGCTTCATACTACAGTAAGCTGAGCTAGGGTAAGAAAAAACAAGCCAGGAGAAGCTCTGAAGAAAGTACGTGATGTTTCTTTCATAAGTCTCGTCTCTCCCATCAGCACCTTTTAAGTTTTTTAGAAATTAAACTGTACTGCAATGTTGCTCACTTCTTCACTGACTGTCCATCCATCACAAGTATATTTCTATTTATTTTTACAGGTAACCAACACAGAAGCAAATGAGCAAAGTTACTTCACAGTTTGTATTTATTTAAATGTACAGTTCAACTTTACCTTTGGATTTTGGAACTAACTCTCCACAACTCAGTATGCGTACTTCAGCATATGGTTTACTAGATGCATCTGTTTTCTGGTTTTCTATTTCTCTCACAACTTCTTGACCTGAGATGACTTGTCCAAAAACGACATGATGTCTGAAGAATTTAAACAGAAGTAAGAATTCTTAGTACTAATTTTTTTTCAAAGCAGTTCCCAAACAAATATATATGAAGAAGATAAAGATATTTACCCATCTAAGTGAGGTGTAGGTTTAGTTGTTCTTTTGTTGCCAAACGAAGTAATTGAAAGAGGAAAACAAAGTCAGTTTTAGTGGAAAACAGTCAGCATTTGAAGTTTGCCATATAGATGTATAAAGGTGAAAACTGAGTGAACTAATAAAACCAGACAAAAGCCGTATCTTTACACTATTTTAAGTTTGCATGCAGTTATTTAATGCTTTATACATTGAACTACTTATTCAGTTTCTTACTGTGACTAACATACTTTACATAAATTGAACAAAAGTACAGATGCATTAATAAATTTTCAGACAGCATTTCGATACAGGATATAAGTACTCTATTTACTAAATTACAGAAACACTTCCAGGAAGAGATATAAAAATTAAGGCAACTGTCTCAGAGGAAGGAAACTGCAAACAACCTTCTACACGCTAGAAAATTTTCAGAAAGTAAAGAAGGAAAAAATACCCATGTACAAAATATCTGTCATCAAGAGTAAATGACTTTGTATCTATAGACAATCAAACAGTTCACAGCTCCCGCTGCACTAGGATTACTGGGGCGCACAGATGTCAGCCACAACAGAAGTCAAAAGCTGAGATAAATACACTAATTATCTGTCAGAAATCCCAAAATAATGGTCTAATGGTAAGCAACATATACAACTGATCATGGTAATTAAGGTCATGAAACATGTAAGACTGGTGAATTTCAAGAACATTTCCTGTAGATAGATTACATTTGACAGGGGTCTAGTGCAGAAATATTTTAAGAATTTAGACTTTACATATAACTATTAACCATACTGCTTTTGAAAGTTATTTTGCGACAGAAAATTTCTCTACTACTTTGAGCTAGAGAAACCCCAGGGCTGTTTCCCTCCCTTTAGACAACACACATTAAAAGAATGTGTTCAAGTTCTGCAGGGATCTAACAGATTTGCATTATCGCCCCAAGTTAGAACACAGCTACCAAAAACTAACAAAAGCTCTTTTGTGCAGACAATAAGCACGAAACAAAAACATGATAAAAACATTCATTGGGAAAACGGCTACTTCCCTGGTACTTTGTGAAAAAACCCTCAGCTTTGGGTTTGCTTAGGAGTCACTCTTCAATATTTAAAAGGGCCACCTTTACAGTTTACAAACTGCAAGCCACACATACATTTCTTAACAGTCCAATACTTACATAAAGAACTGTGAACCATTTGTATCTTTCCCTCGGTTGGCCATTGAAAGGAGAAATTCTTTGTTGTGCTTTACAGCAAAGCTTTCATCTGAAAAAAGTGTTTTCAATTACTTTAAAAACACCATATATGCTTAGCTGAATGCTATAATTAAGTAAACTCATCCTAGCCACTTCAGTAAAAAGAGCATTAAAATTAGATTCAAAATAACAGTTTTTAATTTAATAATTTTAATTTAATTTTTAAAATACGTTACACCTTTTATTATAAATAGTGCAATTTAAGAAGGCAAAATATGAGTTAATGATTTATAGCCTGAGAAAAACTAAAAATGGAAACTTCTTGCTCAAGAGATTTCTTTCCTACCAGTGTTAAGAGATCTGATAATTTTAAGTTGTTGCTATTTTTATTCTGCACATGCAGATCATTGTCTCTTAAAAGCAGAAAAAGTTTATTATTGTGCATTAAGCATTAAGGAATCCCCCTCATTTTGAGGCTATTCTGTTATTCTTTCATAAACATGGAGATCCAGTTTGATGGCAATCCCATACAACTTCTGTTTGTCTATCAGCTACACAGGTGAGTTTAATTAAGGTAGCCATTAAGAAAATAAGTTTAACTTGAACGAATCTTATTTTTGATGACCACATCGTTGCAATAGTTCAGGTTAAATCCCAATGAAACTGTGAAAAGTAACCATCATTCTTCACTTAACAGCATCCTATGCCCTGTTACAGCAGGTAACAGCATCCTATGCCCCTTCTTCCCATTTACAGCATAAAAGACTGTTGGGCCATCTAAACTGTCCAGGTGGAGAAAGTTTACTCATTATCACCTAGATATGTGGCAGGAGAAACAATCAACACAGGAAAAGTACACTGTCTGTAAGGCTGTGGTCTCATATCACACTGTGTCTCTGGCAGTGAAAGGGACAGTACCGCTCGCTCTCCACCGTCACCTGTACACTTGCTCTCTTGCATGGCATTAGGTGTCATCTAACTCTGTGATGAGCTGGTTAAGGGAGTCTCATCAGCAAAAAAACCCCTATGGATTCTGTCTTATGCTACGGCTGTGTTGAATAAACAGCTTACAACTGCCAGAAGGTAAAAGTTTTGCTACTTCTTCCATCTCCCCCAGCTCCACTTGCATTGGTTCTGATACTCGTCTCACTACGTGTTGCATCGGAGCGACTCACTGACATGGAAATAAATACGTTTTTGCTGTACAAGTTGTCTGGCATTTTAGCATGATGAATCAGCTTGCAGCTTGCACAGTCAGTGCAAGGTAAGACCTCCATCTTTTGGCAGTTGCAAAGTGTTGATTCAACTCAAGGTCTGATATAAAACTGCAGCCTAACCTGACCGAAATAGTTAGTAATTCTTTTGATTACTTGCTGCAAGCTCAGACAAGCACCAATGTCAAAAGAAAAACGGCAAGCAGGGAGGAGGATTACAACCAACCCTTAGGTGGCAGCTAGCCATCAGATGGGGTTAGGTGCGATATGAAACTGTTCCCTGAAACAGAGAGATGCTCCAGTACATTCTGGACAAATACAGGCTGGGAAACAGGCTGAAGAAAGAAGAACTTAAAGAGAACTAAAAGAAAACCAGGACTGTGACAAAACAGATGGCCTCTTAATACTTAAGTCCTCTTGAGTTCAGGAAAGAGAATAAAGCAAATAAAGACAACTTGCAAGAAAATCAGACACCATCATGACTTTCTCCTCCTGACTGAAAGAAAAGGCAAGCCCCACCTTTTGGCTATCTGCTCAAGCCAAAACGGTCCATTCAGAATCAGATACCATGTTTAGAAACAGTTATAAAAATGTAAGTCTGGTAAAGCTCCTAAACATGAATGAGTTTGATTTTTGTTTAATTTTTTATTAATTAAAAAGGTTCACATCTTAAAAAGACAAAAAAAAAAAAATCAACCTCCCCCACATTAAAACAGCCTCATGTGAAAAGCAACAGAAGATTCTAAGACCAAACAAAATCCTAACAAAGACAATGGAGTTGATATTTACAGAACTGAGACTACATAATGTAAATGTGATTGCGTATAGTAACACTGAAAGAGTGGACTCGTAAAGCTCTTACCTTCAAAAAAGCCTCCATAAATGGATTCTCCTCCCCTGCCATTTCCTTGAAAGGGGAAAAGCGGCAGTTACAACTTCTCTTTATTTCCCAGCAGTAGACATAATATTTTACCACCACATATAAAACTTTCAATAGAAATATATTCTGACCACTAAGGTAACAGAGCAGAAATATATGCACATATGTACATATATATGTATACATTTTAAGTGTTTTCATCTAAGGTTCTTACTCAGAAAAAGAAAGAAAAAGTTAAGTTACGGAATAATTCATGCAAGTAAAGGATGCTAAGCAGGACTTCTGCAATGTTCTATCATGTAAGCATTATTTTTCTTTAAAGATTCACATCGTACCTTCACTGAAGTCGCCTCCTTGGATCATGAAATCTTTCACTACCCTGTGAAACAGACAACTTTTGTAATGCAATGGCTTTTGGGTGGATTTTCCTGTACCCTTTTCACCTAAAGGAGAGGAAGGAAAACAAAAAAGAAGTGACTCTCTAGACCTGTAGAATCTCCACTATTAAAAAATACTGCCTAAGGGTTTGATCAAAATTACCTACCGAGTTCCAAAAAAATCAACTTGAAAGGTAGGCACACAGCTGTCAGTTTCTTGTTTGTATTACTTTTAAGGAAACAGAGCAGAAACCAGCTTCTACCTCTGCAGTTATATCAGAGGAACTCCTTACTGACATAAGCATACAACATGGGAATCATCTTCCCCACCCCCCCCCCCCCCCCCCCCAGCATAGCTACAATTCATTCAAGAAGAGATAAATTAAGAACTCAAATAGATAGAATGACACCTATCTGAAGAGGCTTAAACAGCTAAGGGTGCAATATCTTACTATTACTGCTGGGAGGACATTACTAATCACGTAACTCAAAGTGCTTTCACAGAATCCTTCCAGGCCTCTTCTGGGTAGATTCACCTAAATTAAAGTCAGTGTAGGTTTAAGATAACTGGCTTTGCCCTGAAGCAGGTGAAGAACAGTCGGATCTTCAGTTACAACATCTCATGGTGAAGGTAGTATAAAAGGCTGTAACTAAGAGAAGAGTACAAAGAAGGAATCTTGCTCCCCTGCCTTTCCCTGACTGTTCCCGCCACTCTTCTGCCTTGCACCAGTTCTGGAGCTCCTGCTCTCTACTGAGTTCGCAAGAGAAGTGACTCGAGGTGGGACGCTGCAAACAGCAGAGCCAACTTCAAGGTGACAGTAAGGTAAGCAGTGAGACTCTGTTGGAAGGAGAAGGAGCTTTTCCTCTCAGTGCTGGCACACGGTTCAGCTGTGACTTCCCACAGTCTCATTCTGAGCTGCAAAACTGACAGCTTCTGTCAAGGGCAGTTGCCTCTGAAATTATCTATAGCAGATTGGTGCTTCCAAAAGCATCTGACTAGCTATAAAAACGCTTCTGACAGAACCTTTGATAAATATGTAGCTACGTCTGTTCCACTAGGTTGGTGTATGCCTAACACACATATAGCAGGGGAAAAAAGAGGTGGTGACTCATGTTTTAAGACAACTGTATATCCTTTTCAGAACTGACAAAAAATGAGTATGAAAATACAGAAATAAAATCAAATTTTGAATTAATTTGCTGTCATAAACACTTTAACCACATAGTTTCCTCATTATTCTTAAATGCATTGAAACAGTGAAATAGTTAATCTGAACTTGATTTTAAATGTGAACAACAAACTACGGACTTAGTTACACTTACTTCTGACTTGAAATGCTATCCAAAGACTTCAAGTACAAAATTCCCTGCAGTAGCAGGGAAATAAGACCTTTATACAACAAATCTGACTTTTGGGCATTTGACAGGTGAAGAACACCATGCTTGCATCATTCCAAACTAAAACCCATTAAAAAACAGAAAAAAGAAAGAAAAAAGAGAATCACTTTAGGGTTCAAATTTGTCAACAAGTTTTGGCACACCGATTTTGTGCAAGGAAACCAATTCCAAATCCAATAACTCTTCCTTTCCTGTAGGCAGCATGAATGCCACACAGTGTTCTGGCTAACTTGACATAACTGTAATCATGCAGTCACACCTGATCCAGATCAGATTAGTACTGCCGAGCAATTCAATATTAGCAGCTATGAGGCCTGGACCTGAAAGGGAACAGAACTGACGGGAAAGGAAGAAGGAAATGCTTAAGACAGAAAATAGGGGCTTATGCTTACACAAAATTATTATTGTGATAATACTTTTATTAATTCATTTTTGGTAAGTTATCAGCATTTTCAATAAGAGCAGGAAGTCCAGAGGAAGACATTACTATTTGGAAATATTTCTGGGATAGAAACTTTTAAATATTTTGTTCAAGAATTAATTTGAATTTCACTAGAGGTGGAAGTCACCAGTCTCCATCTACAAAGAAAAATTAAAATGATAGTTAGGTAGAAAGCAAAGATACTCATGCATACTAGCAATACCTTTGAAATACCTCAAAATATCGTAAGACTAAAATGGAAGTTTGCGTGCTTGATCTCTTATTTCAGGATTGGATGATGTTACATAATGTAAGTAGTAATTTCTAGTAACAGAAAATCAGCTTATTGTGTCAGTATTTGAAGTTGATTAGTATACGCTCCCCGCAACAGCTTAAGCCAAAGCTACAATTGCTTTGATTCTGCATCAGATGCATATGAGAAATCTGCCAAATCTCTACAGACGCCAAGAACCAAGGCTTCACGTGCTTGTTTTTATATGTCAGAAAACGTCAGGAAAAATAACATAGCTGTCGAACTAGCTAACATGGTATTATACTAAAAACTATAAATAAAATTTAAAAAAACTACAAACCTGTGCAAAGGCAGCGAAAATTCTCACATGTCTTTGGACACACATCCGAAAACAACTCAAAGACCACTCTTCCAGCTAGAAGAAAAGCCACATTTGCTATGAAGTTGACTGGTATTTGCATTATTCTTATATATTTCATATGAGTACCACGTTACTGAGTACATATTTTAATTTTCTTACCAGGTACATTGTTGATGGCTATGTCAAAAAAGCAACGAGGCCTCTGGACCTTTACTCCCATGGCTTCCAAAGTTTAAATACTGTAAATAATAAAAAGAAGACTGAGTTCTTCCTTTTGTGTAGTGAAACTGTGCTCAAGTCAAACAGGAAGATTTTATAAAGACAAAAAAAACTGCAGAAAAGGTAGGTAAGAAAACAGACAGCAAAAAATATATATATTTTTTGAAAGACTGAAAGCCCGAAGTATTTTAAGTCAATTTCATGTTCTGTGGACCCAAAGGAGTGATTTTATTTTTACTGCTTGCCGCAAAAGTTTTAACTTCAAGCTTCAGTGTTATACTTCAAATGAAGAAATACGAAAAGAAAAGATACTGCAAGGTATAGGGAATAGGCCTTTCGGCTATCCAGATGGTATAGATAACCACTTTAAGTCATTTGTTCCTAGAACTCTTGTTTCTTCAAGACAAAATAAGAATCACAGAAACAAGAATCAGCTTTGGGACCAGAGAGTGCTTTCAAACACCTTATTACAACTGCCTTTGAACTATTTAAACAGACTAATTTGAGATCTCTTAAGTTCAGTGTCAGCAGCTGAGGAGCTTGTAGCCTCCACATGCCACCTCATCTCTCTGGTCAAGTTTACCAGCCTCAGAGCTGGCCTGTTCTCCCCAGGAGTACGTCAGCTGCTGCAGTGCACAACCAAAGTCAGCTTTTGCTAGACTTAATTTCCATTAATAAAGCCGGTCCATGAACTACACCTGCTCAAGAGCGGACACACTGCTTCTAATATCTAGAAGTACAAAAAACGAACAGCCTGGGACAGTACCTTCTCCAGCTGCGGGAGGTGAGTCTGTCAGTTCTGTGGCAGCCTTGCTGCAGACTTGGACTTGCCCTGCACTCCCCATCCTTGCTGACACACGCATTCACCTGCTATCACTGCAGGCAGGCTCACAAAAACATCCCAACAGCCTGTCGTTCCCTTAGCTATCTGCAGCAGCTCACCACACAGTCAGATGAGCAACAGGCAGTGGGGCACTGGGGGTGGAAGCAAAACCACGCAGGTAGGGCTGGAGCAAGGAGGCTGACAGCAGCACTGGTGTGGGCCAGACCTGACGGTCACGCAACTGTACCCTACGCCTAGCTGGGGCTGCAAATTAAGAGCACCCACACTGACAGACGATTCTTAAACATAAAAAGCAGCTCTCATTGGGAAATAAGAACTCAGTGCAAGGAATAATCTGTTGAAGTCATACAAAGCATGACTGGGCACAAATTGCGAGTATTAGACAGCTCTGAAAAGCCGACAGACATATTAAGAACACTAGATGCAAACCAAAGGAAAATTCTGTATATGATAAATGTGTGTCCTTCGCTACTTAAACAGGAGGTTTTCTTCCCTGCTAAACTCAAGCTGTTCATATAAGCAACTGCCACAGCACACACAACAAGGCAGCTCTGACCAGGGCTGTCTGCAGTCCAGTATCACCAATCACTCAGATGGGGAACACCAAAATTCCCCGGTAGTAAGTACAGAACTGAGGTTATGGGATAGACTTCCGAACCATGTAAGCGGCAGGCTACTCCTGATTTTGTAAACTATAGTCTGAAACCTGAATGTAAAGAAATAAGCAATAAAACATTAACAACTTTTCATCAAGTTATTTGCAATAATTATGTAAGTCAAGTAGGGGCACTTTCAGGAATATCACAATTTTTGCCATAGAGATTAAAAAGGAATGGTCAAAGAGCGAAAATAACTGATTGTGGATACAACTTGATATCCAGGCCTAAGCATTCCATTTCTTAGCAACGTGTCTCCAGGATTCCTGTCACTGTAGTATGAGGAGCTGCTCTAATTAGGATCCAGACCATTCCACGTTAAAAAATAAAGATGTAGCTCTTCCACCGTTATTGCTAAGTGACATGGTTTCAGCTTTGTGTTGTTTCTTTTCCTTTCATGCCATTGATTAGTTGAGAACCCTAATGTAACCTTTGCCAGATCTTTCAGTGTATGAAACCCCTTATTTTTAGTAGGTAGTAACTTCCCTTCATGTCATTTGCGACTCCAGCCTTCCAACATCATGCACAGCTACGACGTTCTTTTCCTCTTCTGATGCCCCAACCTCTCTGAATTACTTCAGAGAGGAAAAAAACATGATGATGGCAGAAGGATCTTTAAGACTGGAGCACTTTTTCCAGCATTTGGGATGTAACCTACAAATTTTCAGTTCTAATTATATTTTGTTGCCAGAAAACGCTATTAAAATCTCTATTTTAGACACACTGCATACATAATCTTTTCCAGAACTGAACTAGTAGCTGTGCCACAGAACAGCCTAGAAAAACCCTATTGTTGCCATCTGTCTCTTATAAGAAGGTTATGACAAATAAAGACTGTAGAGGTTATAAGAAATCAAAAGACTGTAACGTAATCATGTTAGTCTATATTCTCTTTCCTCCCTGTGCACAGTGTCACTCTGAACATTTTGCCAAGACTGTACAGTGAAAATTGCAAGAACAATGCAGGACTGATGTAAATGAAACATCAGTCAGTAGTTTTATCATTCATGCAATTCAGCCTGACTAGACTTTGCAAACATCCAGAACCTCAGTAGATATCCTCTTAGCCATGTTATGAATACCTTAATTCACACAAGCCGGAGCCTTCGTCAAAAACAGCAGCCCTACCTTGGCCTGCTTGCTCCTGTCTCTGAACTCCCTTCTCTGTCCCATCAGAGGCAACAAGTTCTGTAGCCCCAGAGGGAAACAAGCAGGGAAAACTCACGTAGCTGAAAATTTTGCTGTTCTCAGGTTAGCAGAACACTAACCAGTTCATGACACCACCGCACAAACTCTTGGCCCAGCACAAGGAAGGAGGCAGCACAGGTGAGGCAAGAAGGAGATGGGATAGGTGGGAGTGGACAGACTTCTTTCAGAACTGAAACCAGCCTGAAGGACACCCACCTAACTCATGCACCATCCATAGCAGAATACAGTCACATGGAGAGAGAGAAAAAAACCAGAAAGTTTATTTTTCTGGAAAACCTCTTAGAACAAATGCTACAATAAATATTGTTTGGTGATAAAAAAAAAAATAAATATTGCTTTGATGATAAAATTGCAAGTCAATTTAGCTGAACTAAGGCATCCAAGGACCTATAGTAGATGACTCTTCAGTTGTATCTGAACTTTAGACGTTTGGCTGATGTACTTAAGTGAGGAATATTCAATTTCTGCTTTATGGGCAATTCACTTGAAAGACAGAAGAGGAAGGCATGAACATATATATATACGTGATTTTAGCCAAAATAAATACACGCTATCTTAACATGTGATACAATTTTAATTGCAAATATCGATAATGATTAAAGCTAAGTCATGAAATAAATGTCAATATACCTACCTCAATTTTGACTTGGTTTTGTAAAGAAAAGGGTGGAAGAGGGAAGGAAGAGAGAGAGAATTCTACCTGGACTCTCATTCTCACCAACTTTTGCTCATTTCGGTAAGTTTATCAACGTGTCTCACAAAGAGTAGAACAAATGAAGCCTAGCACATGCTCCGAGTCCTTATTCCACTCACGTAATAAATTCAGATCTATGTACCAATATGACCTCCTCCATTTCCTCCAGTGTCCCCTGCACCTTCCCTAAATCCTCCAATAATATTCCCTAAATACTGGCTGCATTTGGTTCTAAATGACACCTGTGTCAATTGTTCAGTATGAAAATCCTGACTGGACAATCATCGGGCCAAATAACATACGTAACTCTTGAGCAGATGTCGCAAATACCTCCTTCAGGGAGAACACTAATAGCTGTCCCTTCTCTATGCAGATACTGACTTTTCTAAATAATCTAGGAACATCTCAACCTTGAAACCTTTTGGAAGACAGAATCAAAACTTACTGGAAAGAGGTGGAGAGACAAAGCTAGGTGTTCTTGCAGGAGAGCGCTGACAGAATAAAGAGAGTGGATAAGCTTTATTAATTCCTTAGTAAACCAGGCTAAAACATCAATGACATTTATCCTAACGATCTGTAAGTTAGTGAGCATTTCTCCTTCAATACACTTAAGTACTTTTTGCAGTCAGTACTTTTTTCCCTTTCGTAGTTCATTGTGCATCTTTGATTTCAAAGTCAGCTACATTTTGTTTTTTAAGTTGTCCTACACTACATTTTCGTCTTCTCCTGTATTTTTCCTGTCCCATTCTCCAAAAACAAACCCTGTCAATGAGTCCTGTCTAACTTACTCCAACTATTTCTCCCTACCCATATACCTTTTCAACTATTACCTTGCTTAATCCCATACAAACAGCGATTATTAAAAAACAAAACAAAAAACCTGCACACACATCAGGTTACTAAACTAATGTTCATATCGTTAACTTACCAGCCAAACGTCAACCCAAAAGATTCCCACAATACAGGCACACACAAATGCGCTACCCAGAAAGGCAACAGTGGGGAGTTAACTCACTTCTTCCTTCCAAAACCCTGAGAGAAAGGATGATATTGCAACCCAAGTAGTATCATGAAACGTTCAAGCCATTCATCATTCTCATCCATCCCCTAGAGGAGCCCCTGACTAAGTCTAAGTAGAAACAATGCAACAAAACTACTTTAGTATACCTAAAAGAAAAGGCTTGTTTGTCAACAAACCAAAATCCACACTACACTGAACTTTGCGTCTACAATACAATTCCACTTTCATAAATAAAACAGACACTAAAAATATATAGCTCTGCCAGAACAGCTGCATCTATAACCAATGCATCACCAGCTGTGTCAGTCAGGGTTCACATCTCTTCACACCTGTGCCAGCATCATTATTTTGTTCAGTTATTTGTAGGATAAAGTTGGCCAGCTCCTGGCCAGGCTGCAGACAGCTGTCGCCTTTCAAACTGAACTGTGCCGATGAAAAAAGATAACTGTCACAAGCTGCTTACAAGCATCTCTCTGCCAGAGGTTATCGCTCATTATTTGTTGATATGCTTAAAAGTATGCCTAGAGGACTTCTTCCCATTAAAATTACCTGTGCTACCAAGCATCTAATGTTAAAACTGCTTAACATAACCTAGCTGCTTTTGACTGACATGAATTAGGAGGCGCTCAGATACAGATTAACTGCAATACCAGCACGTGTCACACATTGGAGATGAGCTGATAGTCATCAACACCCACCAAGCTGACTAAGGCTGTGGCTCCACAATCACTTGAAGCCAAAATAAACGTGGGCTGCTACCTGAAGAGAGTGCTCATACGTCCACATGTTAAAACCCATACAGATCATTGATCTGCATGAAAACTACCCTCTCCACCTCCCCTGCAAGAAAATATTTTGGCAGCAGCACATATCGGGTTAAAGCGACAGCGGAACCGTAGACCAAGAATGCTAAACGCTCACTCCAGTATGATTACACTGGAAATGAATTTATGGTTGCTAAATGATAGGATGACACCAAAGATGTGAACAACAGTAATCCAACCAGCCTATCCTCAAGCTCCATCATTTTCCTAAATACCAGCATCTCTTCCCCCCGGTTTCACTATCAAAGAACTTGAAATAGTGGCAATGACAACCAAGAAACTTAGTTCGTTTTGATTTTATTGAATTATCGGCATAGGATTTTGATGTCAGCTGGTTTAGGAGTATGGTAATACATATGAACACATTTCAGGTTTAGGATGCTTTCTTTGCAATCATGTGGACTTAAACTTTTTTTTTCCCCCCTAAAAAAAACATTTACGTTCTACACAGGTCTATCGTACTTATGCAATAAGACTTTCTACTCATCATCACCAAGGGAATTTTATAGGTTTTCAAACTTGGCTGTCCCCTCCAATGAGATTAAAAGAAACCCAACAACTTTCAACATTTTTGCAGAAAAAACAAAGTGATTAACACCACTTTCCACCAGACCTTCTTCTCCAAAATAATGCTGAAGGTCTTCTAAAAGTCTTTTTGGTCTGCTGACATAGCATTCCCTCCACTTTCCCCCAGTCAAGTGAAGAGACACCTGACAACATCAACCATTGTCTTCCATGCATGTAAGCAAAGAGTCTGCTATTCTTTTAGAGAGATTTAAAAAAATACCACTGTCAGCTAGGTCCTAACTAAATATGCAGCAGGTATTCCTATACCACTGCACTGCAAAGTTCATTTACATCACTTCCAGTGTGAATTTTCACAATGATTAACATGAACTGAGTCTTCTTGTACCAAGGTATACAAAAATTGGAAACACGCTGTTATAATATCTCAGCTGGGAGAACAAGAATATTCAGCTGAGAAGGCAGTCTGCCCACCAGACCATGTTCCTTGTTTTATTTTCCTCGTACAGAGGCCTTGAATGAGAAAGATGACAAAATACCTAAACAGTTCTTGTCAATAGCAAGTGAAAAGCTTTGTTGAGCTATGAATTTTCAGATGTCTAACTAATGCAGAAAGTAAATTTTTCTACTGTTACAGGATCCTCAAAATAAACTCCAGAAGAGGAATGCCTTGCTTAAAGTTTAGAATGAGGCAAGACCACTTAACAGTAGGAAATACTGTTTTCAACGCTAACCCCTATTTGCAAGCCATAACCAAAAAAGCTTGTTCTATCATCTGTTATTCTTGTGTGCTCCTCCTTTGACTATTACTTTATCTCTCGATCCCTTCCTAGGATCGATCTAGTTTCCTATCTAACCCTCACTCCATTTTAAAAGATGGCCAGTTTTGTTCCCTGGCACTAACTCTGTGCTCCCAAGTGGAAGACTGGTCCTAAGTGCAGGTGGCATGGAGGAGTGATCTGGTGATAGAGACATCACACAGCAGCAGATGAACATCCTCCATCCTCTTCACTCTGATTGCCTTCATAATCTGCAGAATATTTTCTGAGATCGTTAGGGGAAAAATCTTCTTTGACAACAGCTTGATGTTATCTAGCTAACTTCAAAACAATTTTTCAGTTCCATAAAAGAGGACTGGAAAAATGGGAAGCCTTACTAAGCAATATTGTCCCAAAGGCTGTTCTCAGAGGATTACTGACGTTACTATTCTTTCCTATGTCCTCCTTCATCTCCACTTCATGTAGGGGAAACTACTAGACATTTTTCAAATCTTAAAAAATAAAAACCCCGGATAAGTGAAGCTAGTTACACACTCTTCAGACTAAGACAAGCTAATGCTTCATAAGGTATGTGCAGTTTTCACATTTTCCTAATGTTTTTATTGTGGTAGCACCCACAAACTTGAGTCATGATGCAGGACCCCAGTGCATGAACAAATGGGAATAGTGAAACAAAACGAATTAAAAGGTAAAGCGAAAAAAAAAAAAAAACTTATCCCTGAACAAAGAACAGGTAGTAGTGTTCTTCTGCAGGTAGTGTGGAAGAAATATCTGAAAAATAAATATTATTTCTCAGAAGTTCAAATACAACTTAACAAAAGACACCAAAAGCAAAAGAAAAGGTCTCAAGTTTGTCTTAAAACAGGTATCAGAGGATAATTAGAATATAATGAACTTAACTAGCCAAAACCTAGGCAAATTTTAACAAGAGCGGCTGAGTTGTTTAAACTCCTGTTCTTTCCAACCATTTCTGGAGGACATCTTTCTCAATCTGAACGAGCTGTAAGGCAACGCTTAGCGCTCCATTTAGTGCTCCAACAGAAATTTTAGCCATGCTGTTTCAACAAACCTTATTTCTTTTCTTCCTAAGGTTCCTTGCTTCAAGGTGTCCCAACAACTCAAAGTATAACCGGAAACACTCAGCGCTTTTAGCGTGGTCGCGGCTGCAAACAAAACGAGCCTGAAACTCCTTACTCGTAAAAACCCCCGAAGGGCCTTCGGAAACCCTCGGCAGAGCCGCAGGGGACCCTGCTGCCAGCCATGATTGCTCCTCTAAGCGCCACTTCCCTGCGAGAGGCCTGCAGCGGGGAGGAGAACATGTGGCCAGCAGGCAGCCCGGCCGCCTCGCCTGCTGGCGGAGCGGA